TAATAATACTAGTAAGGGTACTGTAAGATAAACAGAGCCTACCCAGATTCCTCAGAGGGTCGATGGCCCTGCTGGTTTTCAGCGGCTCTGCCTTCTTCCTGTTGCCCAGCATGCTGCCTCTGTGGACGGGAAGGAGAAGCTGGGGAGCCGTGGAGGACTGGGAGGAGGACGCTGCTGCTTCTCATGCTTTTATTGTGCCGCAAGCTCCGCCAGCGCTGCCAGGCCTGACGTCACAGCAAGCTGGAGTCTTCTGACGTAACAGGAGCAGGAGAGGCTTCCTGAGTGGGCTTTTCACAATAAAAGGTTTCTTTTTTTTAACTTAATTTTTTATTTATTTTTGACAACAGTGACACTTTTAACAATTACATTCTCCTGTCTCACGCAGATATATACATTCTGCATTATAAGTTGACATTATGAAAAGAGGCAGTGAAAACAAATGTCATAATGAACACAAAATAATAAAAACAAGGAGATAACAGAGAAAGAGAAACAAAATAAAAGCAAAACAAAGCAATCAACAATTAGGTCCCTCTCTGAGGAAAAATAATCCACACATTTTTAAGCACAATCGTATTATATACAAATCCATAAGCGTAAAAGGGCAAATCTGACTGTATTAACATGATGGGGCTCCAACTTATGTTAACAGAGGTGTCAAGTAAATAATTACAAATATTTTGTTACTTTACGTAAGTAGAAATTTTGGTTATTTATACTTTAGTGGAGTAATTATTTTTCAGCCTACTTTTTACATCTACTCCTTACATTTTAACTCAGTTATCTGTACTTTCTACTCCTTACTTTTTAAAAATGCAAAAAGTATTTCATTTCTATTTAACTTTGACTTGTTTGTATTCCATCTTTTCATTGTTCAGAAAAAAAATGATGAAAAGAAATGGAAATCTATCCAGATAGATACATGTGACACAAATCACATGACATCCAGCAGGACAGACTGTAGCAGATGGAGCCTAGAATGAAGATGATCGTGGCTGAAACAACTAGTCTCATCGGTTAATTCCAAATTTTCAGCATTAACATTTTAATTTAACATTACACTCTTTGAGCGGTTCATTACTTTTACTTTTATACTAGTAGTTTTAAAACCAGTACTTTTACACTTTTACTTGTGTAAAAACCTCGAGTTGATACTTCTACTTCCAATAAAGTATTTTTAAACCCTATTCTCTATACTTCTACTTAAGTAWTAAATATGAATACTTTTGACACCTGTGTATATTAAAAACTTATTTATGAAGCCTTAAAGTGTATGTAATTTCCTCCAATAAAGATGTTCCAAACTTTTTGATCCATATGTTGGGGACTCTGGTTTTAACCATTTAATGGTTATGCATTTCAATGCTGCTGTGGGAAATATATTTAGGAGATATTTGTCTACCTTCCTGTCCATTCCTTCAGGTATTTCTCCCAGCACTGCCACAAGGTGTTTTTTTAACAATTCTTCTGAAAATTACCCAAAGAGCTTCAAATACAGTTTTTATTTTTTCTTCTTTTTTTTAGTCCTTCAACAAGCCTAACAATCTGTTGGAGTAAAAATGTTAAAAGGGAGGGAAAGCCAGCTGCGTGACTTTTATAAAGTGTGTGTTATGCATATACATATAAACACAAGCAGTAATCGGTATCAATTAATTTCAGTTAAATTCAGTTTATATAGCACCAATTAAATCACAACATACGTTGTCTCAGGGTACTGTACATGAAGAAAAGAACAATCTAAAGAAGAAGCTCCAGTTGTAGAGTGAATTTTTATCTAACTTTTCAAAATTCGCAAAAAATTAAATAAATAAAAATTCAAATCCAGACTGTTTCCATCTAGTTTCCCTCTAGACTGTTTGATGCGAATAAACGAGGCTACGCAACGCGTGATTACGTCAGACAAGGCTACGCAATGTGTGATTACATCAGACGAGGCTACGCAACGCGTGATTACGTCAGACGAGGCTACGCAACGCGTGATTACGTCAGACAAGGCTACGCAATGTGTGATTACATCAGACGAGGCTACGCAACGTGGGATTACATCAGACGAGGCTACGAAACGCGTGATTACGTCAGACGAGGCTACGCAACGTGTGATTACATCAGACGAGGCTACGCAACGTGTGATTACATCAGACGAGGCTACGCAATGCGTGATTACGTCAGACGAGGCTACGCAACGCGTGATTACGTCAGACGTTGGCGACAAGCTTTGTGGTAGTAAACAGGAAGTGAAAATTGCTAACTAGCAAAGGCTAATCATCTCGGGACAATGGAGCGATTTTTTCGTGAATGCCTTGCTATTGGGCAAGTTGTAATTATTCTATCTATTCAGCTAGTACATGCTATGTTTAACGCTGCCGGGAGACGTAGGGAAATAAAGTCATGTTTTTGCGCATTTATAACATCCGGGATGAGGCAGGAAAGCGGAAACAGCTGAACGTCACGTGAGGTAAATATGCGCTACGTCAGAATTTATTCGGCAAATGTGTTTCCATCTCCCATTTTGCGCGTTAACTACTTTGTGAATCATCCAAAAACCACCTCAAGCGAGCGTAAAACCTTTTTAGCAAATTGAGGATTTTTTTCAAATTTTGCTGTTTCCATCTGACTTATTTTCACATTTTTAATGCGACACTTCTAAATGCGCATCAAAAAGCCTTGATGGAAACTGAGCAAACGGTGGAGAGGAAAAACTCCCTGCTACAGTTTTTTCTCAGTGGCTAAAACACATTTCTTGAAACCATCCATCCATTTCTCGAAACTGTGAACACAAAATCTAATTTTCAAACTGCTTTCACAGAACCTCTGACTCTTCCAGCAAAACCAAACTCCAGCCTCAAAATAGTTCAAACTGTACTCACAACCAAACAATGTTGTCAAATCAGACCTGGAAGAAATCAATAGGACAAGCACTACTGAGCAGTCAGTACACAACAGGGAAAAAACGAAAACACAACAATAAGATCATAAAACTTTTGAAAGAATCGTTATTTTCCACAAAGGAAAATATATTTTCAGAACAAAACTCCTAATTAGCATTTTACAGAAAAAAACTGTATACAGTACAACAAATGTGCACACAGCATCTACTCTACAGCATCATGGCGACGTGCTGGGTCAGACCACACGACTTCATCTACATCACAGGCGACATTGTCCCTGTCCAGGCAGCGTGGGAAAAAACTCCTATTCACACTTGACACACATCCACATCTGTGTCATTACAGGCCAGTTCCATGGTCTGCAAGAGATTTTCCCTGGTGTAGGGTTGTTGGTCGTAAACCTTCCAACGCCATGAAGAGAAGAACTCTGTTGGGTTGAGGAAAGGGGAGTATGGTGGAAGAAAACATTCATGAATTCTTGGTTGATATTGAACCACTCTCTGATCTGGATGACACGATGAGAACTCACATTGTCCCATACACTGACATAGACAGGATGCCCTGGCTGCTCATGATCCTTCTGCTGATGACCTAAAACATTATCTCTAAGATCACCAAGAACTGTCAGGAGATGTTGAGTGTTGTATGGCCCCAATGTGGCATGATGGTGGATAAACCCACTGTTGCTGATGGCAGCACATAATGTTACAGTCCCACCTTGCTGGACAGGTACTGCAACAATTACTCACTGGCCAATCACATTCAGGCCCCTCCTCCTCTTTTTGGTCAGATTGAACCCAGCTTCATCCATATAAATATATTCATGGGGTTGTTCTAAGGAATCCAGTTGAAACACTCTGAAAATATTCATGTAGTTTTGTAAGTGGTAAAGAAAGACATATTTATGCTGTAGAGTAGACTGCAGTATTGAACCTGTATATACTGTAATCTTTGCTCTTTGACCCTCTCTGAGTTACGGTCAAAGGGTATTCTGTACAGTTGCTTCATCCTCATTCTGTTGTGTTTTAGGACACAATCATTGGTGGAAACACTGTCGATGCCTTCAAAACTCGCATGGTCTTTAATGATTTCCTGCTGTATATCACACAGTGTGATTGCATTGTTCTGACGGACCATGTCAGCAATGAGGATCTCTTGGTGTGGAGACAACATAGATGTCCTCCCCCCATGATGTGGCAGTCTTGCAATTCTACAAAAGAAAAAAACAAACAAAAAAACACAGCATGCAATTACAAAATACTACATGTAGTACTAGGCCCAAAACGTACGAAGGAAAATTCAGTACTATAATGAAATGCCTTTTTACAGAACCATATTGAGTCATTTTGTAAATATGCAAGTAAGGAACAAAGCAATTACCTGTTCTCCTCTCTGAAACTTCGGACTATGGTGGACACAGTGAATCGATTTAGGTTGGGCTGAACTCGAAGTCCCGCTTCCCTCATTGTCAATCCGTGGACTAAAACATGATCTATGACAGTAGCCCGTATTCCATCTGAAATAATTATTCTTTGTCTTATTCCACCTCTTATGCGCCCTCCTCCACCTCTTCTGTCAAATGTAAATTATTATACACTCACCGGCCACTTTATTAGGTACATCTGTCCAACTGCTCGTTAACACTTAATTTCTAATCAGCCAATCACATGGCGGCAACTCAGTG